TTTTCAGGATTTATATTGTTTTGTTTTTCTACAAAAAATCTGAAATTGAGTTTTCAACATGTTTTTTTGTCATTTTCAAAATATATTGCTGATTTTTGCTTCTGAAGATACCTAACGTTACTACGTGTTTGTTAGGTCTTTTAAGGTTTTGGACTTTGTTGATATTATTATTGCACTAACTTGTTAAGCTTTATTCATGGCTTGCTACGTAATATATTGTTTCATTACAGTTAAGTCAAAATAAAATGTTGATTTGGCAGTGCTGCATGAGGGACAATTTTAAAGGTCACGTCGAAAATGTCAACTCTTCGTTTTAGAACGAGCTGGCGTTTTGACAAATTGATAACGACTGTTATGATAGTTAATGTGTATGACTTCTAATTAATTGTAAGTATTGTTTGTAAGACTATTGACATTATGTAAGAACGACACCACGCTAATTTAAATTAAAGCCGGACAAATATATATGATTTTACGGGATGATTTTCTTATGAATCTCATGACAAAAAAAATAAAAAATAATTACACAAATAATTTACGATGTAGCAACATCTTGTATCAAATTACAAGAATTTAATTAATCCTTAATTAATTTATTTAAACCTAATGTAATTTCATTTTTTTAAACTGTAAAAAAAGGTTGGGATAATATACTATAGTTTTATTTGAGACATTTACCTTGCAAGCATTTAACTTCGGTTTGTATTGTATCACAATTAAAAATTAATGCATTAATTAAAGTTTTTAAAGCCCTGATGATGATAACTATAAAATAAATAAAACGATTAGCTTCTATTAGACAGTCCTTTATAATCCCCCTTGTTTGCCTGATGAATGTTTGAACTCTTGGGTCCTATAGACCTTTCTGAAGAATGGCTGTTTTTCTACGACCAAATAATATAAATAACAGTTAAATCTAACCATAATTGTGAGATCATACCCTCAGCCCCATAAAAGATAGGAATAAGTTTTTTTTAGGGATTTTCAAAAAATCTAAAGAAACTTAAGGGTTGACTGAAAATCCGTGGGACTTTTTGTCTTTCGACTATTTGAATAAATGACATAATTTAAATAAATCGTGTTCTATCTATAATTGCTTAACACTGCACTAGTATTAAATATTCATAGAAATTATAATCAATTGTTTAATAAAAAATATGTAAGTCATAAAAGATGAGGATTTGGTCTTAATATCTCGGCATTTATGAAGAGTGAACAATATTGTAGTTTATGAAATCAGTAATAACAATTAAATCTAGTCATAAGTCGTTAACATACTATAAAAATTATAAAATATTTTGTATTTTTTGGAATTTTCAAACAAGGTCATGATTAAAAGACAAAATAACAAAGTTAACTTAAAGGCTGAATTTCAAAGTTGAAGTTTATTGGAAAGAGGCATTTTTCCAACCATTCATACGACAAATTAATAGAGGGTAACTAACGGTCATAACTGAGGGGTTGTCATAGTCAATTTGCGAAGGGAAATAGGAAAAATAGCAAAATAAAATTCAGTCAAATCGCTTATTACTGCTGACAAAAATTCTTTTACAAAAAGTATATAAATAGATGAACTTACTGAGATTTCTGGTATTTAAATTTCACAACCAAAAAATGCAAATACCGACAGTAGTTCATTCGCTTTGTACAATCATTACCATCTAATTGCAATATTCAATGAATTCATTAATTCATTTTTATTGAGTTATCTAACACAGAATCCTTTTAAATATGGCACACCAAACTTAACATAATAAATTAACCTTAGGTATATAAAACTGTCTCATGACAGATTTACGTTTGGCGATGTTAAGCTGTAAGAAAGATGAGTGTAAGTTGGTGCAGGGTAACGATTTTCAAAATAGTTTTGCAAGCATCAAGTATCATCATATATGAGATATTGATTATTAGGGTCAACTGCAAATAGCTGGAATTGAATACCTTCAAAACAGGATATGATTTATGAATAATACAACGAGAATAGGACCGATATATGACCCTTGGATGACTCCAGTAGTTGCAGTAAATTGACACAAGTAAATGATTTTAATTTTAACAGATAATGTTCGATTACTTAACTAACTTTCGAACCGTTCTAATTAGTGTCCAAAAATACCGTAGGCTTCCAATTAAGAAATCATTAATGGGCCGGACACCTAATCGAACGCCTTGCTGAAGTCTGTATAGTTACATCGTATTGACAGTTAGTAGTAATTAGTAGATGAAAAGTTGTAATTATATTACGAAATAAATTTATTATTTGCTCTGAGAAGAAGTTGAGAGGTAGTTTTGCAAAGAGTTTAAGAATAGACTATTGAATGCAAGTAGGTCATAAAATTTCTTGTTTTTTTAAATAGTTCGACAACGTACAAAAATATTTCGTACAAATTGCCTAACGGTGCTCATTTATGAATCAAACAAACTATCAATGATTTTTTTCGATAAAACGTATTTTTTTGCAATGTATTTATTCTACCCATATTAGAATCAATTGATTTAATTTGGAAACATGTTTCATCGAATTATAACGCTGATACAACAAAAATAATAATACTTGGTTTCCCGTAAGATATTGTCAGGTGTGTTTTTGCTATTTTAGGTTTGTTCGATTCTCTCCGATTTTCTTTAAAACCTCCGACACCTAAATTGTGTGCTGCTGAAAAATTTATGATGATATTAAACATTATTTGGTTATAAATTTTTTTAAAAATATTTCTTCCTTCAGAAGTGTCAATAGGCTTGTAAACAAGACACTCTTCACCACATTATCGTACAAGCAACCTTTTCATTTTGGAGTACAGTAAATTTATTTAAATTGGAAGAAAATTTAAAGAAATTATTATTTTGTTGAATTATAGCAATCAAACTGTTGCGGCCCACGACGCTTTAACTTTGTTGTTCTTTCATTGTTTACAAATGTTCTCATAATTTGGGAATACACAAATACTAATAAAACTAACCTCGTATTAACATTAAAATATTCTTCACAAATGAAAGCTATGGACCAGGGCATTTATTACCTTAACACTCTGGGCTCTGACTTATGTGAGTACAAATTACGTACATGCCATGGTTTTTCAATGTTTTATTTGATGTTTGTTTCGATTTCACGTTTTTAAACATCAAGTTCGCTATATATTTTCACATTCCTTTGTAGAATAATATAAGCAATACACTAAAGATTATTCCTGGTTACTGATTCATGTAAGCTCAATAATGTACATGCATGTACAACATACACACGTGTACAGAGTAAATAGTCTGACTTCTCGCGGTCCACCGGCAATTACAATTTTTGTGATTTACAGTAATTTACTGACAGGATCCAGATTGACCCAGGGGTTGGCAGTCCGAAGTCAGGCCTCAGACTTATCCATCCAGCTATCAACAGCTAGGTATTTCGCCACTAACGCAATCAATTTTTAAATCCAAAACCATATTTCCGATATTCCGTAACTGGCCCTCTCACAGTTCACATTCTCGTCAGTAAATACATTTATCTCAACACACGCTAAGGACACAAAACTGACATTACGGTACACAATAAAACAACCCATGTTTCTTCCCAAATCAGAAAAGGGGACCCGGATTCTCGCTGCTACCGTCACGCATGGAGAATCACCCACCTCGAGTGATGGTAGCCTAGGGTTAGCCATCTGTCTTGGTCTTATCCGTCCAGCCACCGAGGTTTATCTCCAGGGACTATCAACAACTAAGTCAATTCAGCCTTCAAAGCAATCAGTTCCTAAATCCAAACCGATTCACACTCTTAAACTTCACACTCACTCTTAAATACCTTCTGTCTTATTTATATACCATTCATACAGTTGGGATAGAGGAGTGCTAGATATTCCGCTATTGGCCCTCTCACACTTCACATATTCACATTCATGCCAGTAAATACATTCTCTCTCAATTTTCTCCAACGACAAAAAAAATGTCATTAGGGACCCAGATACTCGCGGGCGAATGAATTTTATGTTTTTACACAATGAATTCAGGCCTGTCAGTATGTTGTTTATGCTGTTGTTGTAGTTGTTGTAAATGTCTACTACGGTGAGTAAGTCGTCTACGTATGTGTATGATTGTTTTGGCATAATTTCGGGGTAAGTATTTCTCTTCAAAAATTTTTATACTTTTTTTGGTTATAAATTTGTGTAGTTTATTGTTCTGCTTTGTTTACATTTTTTTTCCTTTATAAAATTGGTTATTTATAAACGAACAAATAAATTGTAACCTCCAAGTTAAAAAACGCAAGAAAAAATACATAAATAAAGAGGGCTCATTTATTATGCTTATAGGTTGACCATAATTGCACAATAACAAAAAATTACACGTCGTATTCTTGAAGGATGAGGGATTTTGTAAAATCATTATGAAAAATTCTAGGTTAATGAAATAATGAAAATTACTGACTACCAGCACCTAACAATAATAATTTTTTTTTTTGCCTTGCGCCTAAGCCTAAATTGGCCACGCCTCCCAAGTATTTTCAACCGGCGGAGATGAGAGGAAGAATAGAAAGGTGGGTTTGAAAAATCAGGGATTTTTATGTGTCATTGTGTCAATCCGAGTTGTTGACAATCTCTACAAGACATTTGGTCGGATTTTAATTTATTTTTATCGATATTTTCACTCGCCTTTTATTTATTTACTTTATATTTTACTCTGATTTTTTTTTTTTTGCTGTGATATACACAGACGCGGCGGGAGAAAATCTTTCAAGGTCATAATTGCAACCGACCGAAACGCGGGAGTCCGGGTTTGAATTTGTGTCATATTGAACAACATTAAACACTTACGCTTCCTGAGTGGAATGGAAAAGATCTTAAATTTGTGTTTCTATTTTGTATAGACACGTACATTTTTTCTGTCTAAATTTTGTTTTATTGTTTATCGAGAAACCACCTGTGCCATTTTTTTAAATGACCACTTGTTCTTCCGGAGGCAGTGGATTAATGATTTTTTTGTCTTAAAATGATTAAGTTTTCTAAGCTCACCTTCAATGCAGACGACGTGATCCCTGATCTGCTGGGAGACGATCGGGTCCGGGATGAGCTCGATCAGGTCGTAAATGGCGTAGATGGACGGGTGGACGCTCTCGAACCTCCTGATCTCCTCCCTGATCGCGAGGGAGTTGTTGTTGAACGGTTGGACGTGCTGGCGAGAGTTCATCTTTCGACGAAGGTCCGAGAAACGCTGGACGTCACTTTCGTCGTGGCCCGATCGGAAACCGGCGGAATTCCATATTCGGACGTCTGACTCGATTTTATGGCCTTTTCTCAGAGTCCGCGACTATCGAAATCGGCGGAACCGTTTTAAAAATAAAATAAACAATCAAAACAGAGGGAAAGTCAGACGACGAACTGTACCCGAGGAGAGAGAGTTGATAACTGAGGTGCCGATGGTGGTTTGCCACTCCACTGCCATTCCTCTCCTCTCCCTTGAAGGTTTCATTCCATTCGCACTTCGAATTTAAAATACTCATTATTTCGACTCATAAACGTAAAAGCAATTAAACAAAAAATATTCTTCCCCATGTTAAGAAATTTTAAATTTATAAAATTTTTTTGAATAAATAATCTCGGCTGATCATAAAGGCTTAGAAGTAACCCTTCTCTCACTCACTCTCTTTTGACCGCGCATAACTAACGGATTTTCAATTCCCGCCGGATCGTAAGTCATGCCCGTTATTCATTTGTCTACTTTTAAGGTTAAATTTTATTTTATAAATTGATATTTATTGTATTGAAACATTAAACTTAAAATTTAAAATGGAAATACTCCATTTGGTGATGTTTTACAATGATTGTCACATATTTTAGTGAGTTTCATTTCTCATACCATACATATTTAAAGATATTTATATATATAAAAACAAACATAAAACATTTTTTATATTAATCGATATATGCATTTAGTAATCATAATTGACCGTATTAATTATTTTAATTAGTTATACTTATTCAGAAATTGTGAGATGCGTTCTGGTGTGATGTAGGTTTTAGAAAAACTTATTCTTTATCGTGCCAACGTTTCGATCTTTATTGAGATCATCTTCAGGGCTCAAAGTGTTTGTCTTCTGTTTAACTGTGCCATTCTTGCGTGTCGTGTTGAGAGTGAAGATGATCCCAATAAAGATCGAAACGTTGGCACGATAAAGAAAATGTTTTTCTGAAACCTACATCACACCAGACCACATCTCATGATTTCTGAATAATTATCGATTAACGGTCACTAATCACCACACATTAGTTATACTTTCAACCTAAAGTCTTGATTGAGATGAGTTCGACCCTCTCGTGACATCTGCTTTTGGCTCTCAACCAAGACCTTAGATTAAAAAGTATAATTAATTAAAACACTTTTTATTATCACATCCATTATATTTAGTGGTTTGAATGGCCAAATTACTTCTTTCAATTAATTAATCTTTTTATGCAAAGTCTTGGTTGAAATGAAAAAGGTAATGTCACGAGCGGGATTTGAACCCACATAGTTATTATGGTCATAATTGATCGTAATAATGATTTTAATTAATTATACTTTAAGCCTTAGGTCTTGATTGTGATGAGTTCATATCCTGCTCATGACACTCGCTTTTGATTCTCAACCAAGACCTTAGGTTAAAAGCATAATTAATTAAAACAATTTCTATTTTAATAATGGATATATGCATTTAGTGGCCATAATTGACCGTAATAATGATTCTCAATAATTATACTCTAAACCTTAGGTCTTGATTGAGATGAGTTCGAATCCTGCTCGTTATTATACTTTTAACATAAGGTATTGATTGAGATGAGTTCCCGTTGTGACACTTGTTTTTTCATCTCAACCAACATCTTGGATTAAAAGTATAATTAATTAAAACATTATTTTATTTATGTATTATATTCTCTAGAGAAGCTTTATGAAATGAATTAAACTATGAGATAAATCAAAAATATATAAAACAGAACATAAAGATACAAATGAAAGATAATATTAAAAAAGTACAAACATAATGCTTTTTCATATGATCTGTGATGAAAACCACTCTGTTCTGATTTTTAGAGAAACCAGGGCTTTTTTAGTGTGTATAATAGTAATAGTTTTGTTTCCCTAATGTTCATTGTGAGTGTATGTATTTGTTTTCAAAATTAGAAGTATCAGTTTTTCATTTACGACCACTATGGATCAAGGTATGGTCTTGAATAAGACAGCAAATTTAGTTGCTGCTACCAAGTTTTCGACCTATTTTAAGTCATCATCAGGAAAAACAACCTTAATACGTCTACAGATTGACATATTTATGTTTTTACAGGCAGTCTCTAATTTCCTCGAAGACCGACTCAGTCCCAATATTGCCAAGGACTGTAACTCTATATGTGCCCCTCAGATTGCCTGTAAAAACTTAAATATGTCAATCTGTAGACATATTAAGGTTGTTTTGCCATGATGATGACCTTAAAATAGGTCGAAAGCTTGGAAACTAAATTTTCTTTCTTCTTCAAGACCATATCCTGATCCAGAGTGTTTGCATGTATTTAATGGAGTGAATGTGCAGTTGTAAGGGTCATTGGCGGAATATTGAATATCCCATTGACCCTAAATTAGGCTAGTTTTACAATCAAGTACTCCACCACCCTAACTGAGTGAATGTCATGTAAATAAGAAAGAATGAATTAAGAGTGAGTGAGAGTCTGGATGGTTTGGATTTAGGAACTTATTACTTTGTGCGCTTAAATGGCTGTTAATAGCCCTATAAAACCCAACTTTGGCAACTGGACATATAAGACCAAGGTCTGACACTGTACTGCCAAAGCCCGGGTTATTCACGAGGCCAGCCAGCAATTTATTGGAAATTACGCAAAAGCTGGAATGGCCAGTGAGCTGGGAAACAATATTCCCTTCATCCATATTTTGTGTATATATATTACGCAGGGCGGGCGACCAGGACCCGAGGGGTTAAAAGCCTAGGTAGGCCCGTACCCCATCATATTTTGTGTATATCGAGGCTGAATATGTTGTGTGAGAGTAGCGACGGTGCAACATTGAGTGCCTCATCGGCTCCCATTTACTTTAATTATATAATATAGTGTAGAAGGTGATGAATAAGATCAAGGTCTGACCCGGCTTTTTAAAAGTTTCAAAGAAAAATATTGATTTCTATAATTTCTTATTACTATTACTTCATATTTTTTGTGTGTATATTTCATACTATGGATAATGGAATAATTAACAAAGTTTTATATCAGCAATTAATTTTATTTGACAATTCTTTTATTTTGGTATATATAGTTTTATTTCCTTCTAAATAATCTGCTATTCCAATTAATGCACCATCCACCAACCCAAAAAATTGAAGGAAAAACTCCATGATAAATGTTGTCCAAGTGCTTTCATTTTCGACAATTCCCAATCCAGTAACATTCGTTTCTTGACTCACCATCTCTCTCAAGCATACCTTTGCAACTGGGTTCATGTAATTTGCAGACATCTGAAAAATGATACTTTTTGAACATTCGTTCGCTGAGATAATGGCCCAATTATGTCTTCAACAATAGAACATTGAACCTTTTTAATCCTTAATATTGAATTTAATAACTTTATTTATTACTACATTAATCATTATTCGGAGATCGTGAGATGCGGTCTCGGTGATGTAGGTTTTAGGAAAAAAATTTCTTATCGTGCCAACGTTTCGATCTTTATTGAGATCATCTTCAGGGTTCAAAGCGTTTGTTTTCCATGTAGATGTGTTATACTTGTTTGTTGTGTTGAGAGTGACACACAAGAATGACATATCTACACGGAAAACAAACGCTTTGAGCCCTGAAGCTATAAAGATCGAAATGTTGGCAAGATAAAGAAAATGTTTTTCTAAAACCTATGTCAAACCAGACCGCATCTCATGATCTCCAGATAATCATTGACTAACTGTCACTAAATACCCCACATTACTACATTAATCTTTTTTTAACTATTTTTAACGAAAATTTTGTCATGTGTAAGTTGTTAGAAAATTAGTAAGTGCTTTTATAGAGATAAAACATGAAAATTGTTATTTTGGAGGGTTTAAAGTTTTAATTTTAGCCCCTAAAAGATAATAGAGCGTACAAGCCAAGAAGGATATGTTCAATATGTAAATAGTTAAATAATATTCATTGAAATTATTAAAATACAATTGTTATATTTCAGATTTTAAAGTTAGCAATTTTTGATCAATTTTAACCCTTAAAAGATAAAGAGCTTACAGGTCAATAATTTAATCATTTAGTCAAGGAGCCAGAGTTTAATTCTGGAGGAAAAATGTAAATTTATATTTTAATTAATTATATTTTTAATCTAAGATCTTGGTTGAGATGAAAAAGCAAATAATAAACCACTGCTCTAACATGAGTTATAGTGATTACAAGTGGTTACAACTGTGTAGTATTAAACTGAAGGTCATGGGTTCGAAACCTACTCGTGACACTTGCTTTTTCATCTTAACCAAAACCTTAAATTAAAAGTATAATTAATTAAAATAATTAATAAGGTCAACTATGATTACTAAATTTAACAAAAATTTAATACAAATTTAAATTTTAATATTCGGGAATCGGATGATACTAATTGAGACATTAGCTGAATTATGGCATCATTCTTTGACTATGGTTGCGACATTTGGCCGTTCAGGATATTTGTTATTCCGTGATTTATTTGGCAAGCCTGAATTTATTTCAAATGTCACTAAAATTCAAGCTTAAATTTGTATACAAATTAAGTACTTAAATCAGTTAATTCTAATTTATTGTTTTAATTAGTTTTATTTACAAGGTAAATCCCCAACAATGAAATTTTTAACATACCTTAAAAAATATTGCACCAATAATAATGCAAATCCTCCTGTTGAACAACATTAATCCGCTGATTCACAAATCGCTAATGGGAATAAAAAATATTGCAACTAGTAATATAAATAGACTTGAATGGCAGGAAGTTAAAATTATGATGGATTAAACAGGAAGACAGTTTTGTCAGCTGCATAGCTTTTTTACAAATTACCCTCAATCAAATATAAGGGTATTCTACATAACACTGTTGCTACAAATTCTCATATTTTATTATGATGATTTTTACGAATTTATTTAAATTAAATTGAAATTTCTACTTTATTTATTTTGTTAATATTTCTGTAGAAAATATTTATATGTTTATACTGTTACTTATAGTTACTGCCCAAGCCTGGGGAAGAGAAATATTTTGAAGTTTTGATAAAAATGCTATTGTTTTTTTATTTAAACATTGTCCAAGCTGTCCCAGCAAACATTTACTTTGACAAAACAAATTTTATTTGTACTTTTATTTATTTATTTATTTTAAATGTAGAAATAGGGCTTAAAGCACTGTATATGTTCATACCTTAGAAATA